ATCGTGTGGAATGAAATAGCTGAGCATCTCTAATTTGAAAAAAACTAGAATGGCAAAATTCTAAACGACAAAAACACTATTTTAAGAGAAATTATTTTTTCCTGAACCCTGAGGGGGAGTACAGGGCCATTTTTTCATAGAAAAAAACGTTTCTCAAAAATAGTTAAAACATACATGAATCGACTCAGTTTTTAACAGTGATTCCGAATATAGCATTGGTTTTGATTAAAGCCGTTATTTGTTAACTAAAAATTGGCTAAATAGGGAGCAAAAATGTATAAAACCGCGATCCGAGACCAATGTGGCTCGGCAGGTCACAAGTGATTAGTGATTTTTGAGTTTGGAAAATATACAGTTTTGTAGCTTTCGAAAATGGCTATCGAATGGTAAAAACCGGAACTCGATAGCTATTAGTATTGGTGAATTATTATCAAAACACCGTGGCATATATCTATCATATATCCATGAGGTGGGCCCATGATCTTGAACACGCTTGGTACAAGTAAGGAATCAATTTAAAATATCCTATCAAAGTCAGTTTTTCAAGCTGAAAACGAATCTGAAGTCCATTTTCGTGATTTCTGTAGAAATTGTATGTCTTTGTGGGGTAGGATCAATGCTGACTAGGTAGGACAGGCCACAGTGTGGTCCATGCTAACTTGGCCCCTGAGTTTTTTTGTCTTGACAATTTAATGTCAAAAGATGTACCTTAAAGAGATCTATGTCTGGTAAAAAAAGAAGTTTGGGACCGCTTGCACCACTCAAGAAAAGCCCAAAATACTGCTATCCCAGAATGTAGGATTTCTTGAGATTTCGAAGATTTTTGATCTATAGCGTTTCTTTTATCTCAGATATGAATCATCAAAATTGGATAAATTTGTAGCCTATACTGTTCCCTATCTAATGAGATGTGGCCGATCTCAAACGGTCAAACTATTCATGAGAAAATGTCAAAATAGTGAGCACACCCATTTTTAGCGGATTTTTAGGGTCAAAATTGACCCCCTTACACTTGTTTTAGCTTGCATTTTTCATAGGTAAAACCAAATGACCTAATATTTTGGATTTAACTATAGATTGCCTAGACCTATCATTTAAGAAAATAAAATCGAAAAAAAAATTTTTTTCCCCGACGACTTCTATGGAGAGTAGGGTGGTCTTCTCGCGGACCCTCTCTTAATTTTTTAGGGTGCAATAGACTAGAAATAATTTATTTCAACGATTAAAAACTTCGCAGTGGCTCTTCTGAACGTTTATTCATACAGTTGGCATTAGATTTCCATATATATTTCCTTTAATTATTTCAATTTATTTTAAATGATTTATAAATAAATGAATCTGTTTCCTTATCTTCACACTTCTCTCATTGTAATATCTTTTTGCTATAAAATATTTCATTATAGAAAATATATTGAACAAATTGTATACAATTGAAATTACATTTGGCAAAAATTTTCGTAATTCAAATAATTAATTTGTTAATAGAAAGATATTAAATAGTTAATTTGCACTAGATTTTATGGATAATAGTTATAAAAAGATAATTATATTGAATATGAAAATACCATATTTATTCCTATTTCATTCAAAGAATAGATTAAATGGAAAATCAAAATTCAATAATGTGAAAGACTATATATAATCGATATCCACATCAACATTAGCATATTGTCTATACGTATATGCGCCTTCATATGTATTAAACAACGTATTGTTTTTATTTTATATTGAATATATCAATCGTTCTATGAGCTTGTTATTATTATGTTATATGAAGTGTATTTTTGTCAAGAATATTTCCTAAATGTGATAGTAAACGTTCAATTCGTAGTTATCAATATGATTCGAGACGACTCTTCTGTTACTTATTCATAAATAACACCTTTTATTTTCCTATTTAAACCGATGAATTTTTTTTTCATCTAGATCTATTTGGTTCACATTTGTTATTTTTCCCTTCTATTTTTTATTTACATAGTAAACCGTCTCTTCACTGTTTTTTTTTCTTATTTATTATCTTACGAGAAATGATGCATTTTTTTGTACATCAAAATAAAAGAACAGTTGAACTACACACTTCAATATATTCAATAATTTAATTGTCTTATTGTGTTAAATACATAGAAAAACGTATAAAATAACTGCTAATCTTATCAATTTTTTCTTTTTAATTATTCAGTAGTTTGTTGGTAACGTTTTTATGATATCAAATATTCTTATTATCTGTTTCAGATTAATTTTCAAGTAACAATCGTGCTAATTTTACCTTTGTCTGAACATACTTACTAAAAAATTGTTTAACAACAGTTGAACGAGACAAATTTACAGTCATTACTAAAAGTTTTTGCTGGTAACTTACTTATATCTGAAACCTTCTGTTTCTATGTACATTAACATAATTGTTTTAGGTATCCACATAAAGTTTATTGTACGAAATGTATTTCGACTTAGACAAAGATTACTCATTAATTGATACATCAGTTTTACCAAATGATATATTTACACGTATAGATGATGGTTTTTTTTCTATTGTTAAAGTATTAGCAGGTGATTCTGTATTCAATATTTTACGAATACAACTAATTAATTCGGAAAGAAAACTATTAAATACACCTGATGTGTTTGCATTTTTTCAAATCGAATCGGAAGAAACGAACACAATAAAAGCTGAATCTTGTTTTAAATCTAAGACTGGACAATATGTTGTTAAACCCAGTATTCAAACCGGTTTATCATATTTAATCAAATTATTAAAATAGAAGTTAAAAGAAGAAGAATTAACACTGAGTGAAAATAATGAAACTCAACATAAATATATATCAAACGAGTTCATTGACAAGCATCCGCTTTTAAAATCTTTAATTAAATGGTATCAACAAAATGACTCGGAAGACAACAACAAAGCAAATAGGTTTTTGACGATGTTCATCGATAATTTGGCATTCAATCTTACACAATCGTCAAATCATTTTAGATACACTGAATCAATTAAAAAATTTGCCATATGCTTATATGTTCTTGGTAGTAAACAATGTTATGAGTTTGTTCGTTTAAATATGCCTGGTAGTATACCAAATCTGACAACACTTGGTGATTTAATAAACAAATCGAATATGACTCTAGCTGAAGCAGAATTTAAATTTGACTCACTTCAACAGTTTCAATCAGGTTTTGGATTTTGTTCTGAAGATACTACTGGTGTTATTCCTAAAGTCGAGTATGATTCGTCGACAAACTCATTCATTGGATTTACAACACCAGTTGTTGATGGTATTCCGTTGAGGAAACATTATCAAACCGATACATTTGATGATTTTAAAATAATTCGTAACACCAATGCAACAGCACCGTTATTGAATGTACATATGTTCCAAAGTATATCAATAGAAGATGATCCAACAAATTTTCCGAAACCATTTTTACTCTCTGCTTACGGTGTTGATAATAAATTTACAGCTATGGATATTTTACACCGATGGATGCATATATTTGAACGCTGTTTAGATAAAGGTGTTCGCATTGTTGGATTTTCCACAGGTAAATTTTATCCATCCTATGTTTCTCTAAAATATTTCTCGATTGTAAATAGATGCGGATAACAAATACATAAGTGCCATGCGTCTTGCCAGTAATTTCTTCGCATCGTTACCCAATTTCAAATTAGACAAGCATCAACATGCATTTAAAATAGATATACCGAGTGACTGGACATGGTTTTTTCTTAGTAGAAATCAACTCTTCTTGTTTTTTCAAGATCCAGTTCATATCGTGACCAAATGGCGTAATCAGTTATTATCATCAACGGCGGACTTATATATTGGAAATGATAAAATTAGTATGACACATATTGAACAACTAATCAATAATAATAATTCTACAAAATTAGATCATGATTTGACGAAGAGCGATATTAATCCTAAAGATCGTCAAAATTACAATTCATGTATTAAATTAATATCAGACGATGTAATAAATCTTCTTAATGATAGTATAGATACCAATGGAACAGTTGTTTATTTGACATTGCTAAAAATGATAGTAAAAGCATATATTGATAAATCAACAAGTATTCATGAACGTAAGTCTATTTTTAAAATTTAAAAACGGAAAAAATCAAAATTATTAATTCTTAACAATTTCTATGCATTTAGGTATTCAATCAGCATGGTGTGTGGTATTTGTTTGTCGCCTTTGGCGGTCTTATTTAGAAAAAATATCAGCTTTGAAATCATCGAAAACCAGTCAAACAATAAGTGAAAGAAATAATAAAATTAACAAATACTTTATTACTAGACCCGCATATATATCTGTTGAGTTGGACGCACATAATTTATTGTATTTGGTTCTATTAGTGGAACAACAATATTTACCTAAACAAAAATTAATTAATATACATTCATTCAATTCACAACCATGTGAGTCATTATTTAGAGATGCAAGATCGTTAAGCAGTACGTTCTCAACGGTCGTCAACTTTACCGTAAAAGATTTTATTCGGCGTTCACAAAAATTATCAATATTGAATCAATTTAGATATAATCAATTGGAAAAAGATCTATCCTTTCCCATACACCACAAACACAAACGCGAACATCCATTACCATCTTTACATCAATTAGATGAAATTGATACATTAGATATTCAACAATTAATATCAAATGCATATGATCAAGCACTACATCTTGTTAAACATTCAAAAATACTAGATACATTAAATGAACATAAAATAAATTGTATAGATGATCTAAGTAATTATATCTTCGACTTGTTAAATAAAAATTCAAGAATGATTAATTATTCTTTCCGAACAGAAAATAACACCACTGAAGAGTTTGGATTAGATGAAGAGAATGATGATAATGACGTCGTAAATTATGCACCTGTTACGGGCTACCTCACAGATATCATATTTTGTTATTCTCTATTGTTATTTTCTTTTTCTTTTTCTCTTTTCTTTTCCACTATTCATATATATATATATATTGTTTCCCTGGATAGTCATGGTGATATATGTATATATAAGGGCATGATATGGGTTATATGAATGCACTTATTTTCCCTTCGAAATAAAGATTCAACATCAAGGACATTCTATATACATATCTATTCTCTTTTTGGAAATAACCCCTAATATTGGTGCCGTGACCGACTGCTTTATTATTTATTAATAATAAAACACGAACCAACAAAAAAAAATTTTTCATATACTATCGGAATTAAAAAAAAAATATATACATATCAGTAAGTGATTACATTTTTTTTATTCATTTAATTTAAAGGTAGCTCCATTGGAAGCTGCCTGGAAAACCTCTATTGAATTAAAGAGATAGTTCCATTGGGAATTGTCTGAGAGAAAAAAAAAGAAGAGAACCACTCAATTATTATTATACATACAACGTTATCAATTAAATTTCACATTATATTATCATAATTTTATTATTGTTATTAAAATAACGGCTTATAATCTTCGAAGTGCTGGTAACGATCCAGAATTTACTGGTGATTTATTAACAAAAACATCTGAACGTACAGTAAAAAGATTAACTCTGGACTCATTAAATAATACTACCGAACAAATTCAGACAATGTCTCACACTGCACAAGATTCAGCGATGATGATATGTTATCGTGAATGTTTATCAAATCTGGACAAATTCAATGGTGGTGAAGATCAAAAAGTTTCGCAATTTATTAATAATATTGAAAGGATTGGAAGAATGATTAATGCAAATGATGATATTTTACATTGTATGTGTACAGCCAAATTAGATGGGGAAGTGAAACGCTGGTATGAAGACAATATGACATTAACCAAATGGGAAAATTTAAAACCAGCATTATTAGAAAGATTTACAACATCGGATTCAACATCGAAAATATTTGAACAATTGAAAGAACGAAAACAAAAATCAGATGAAACAATTACATCGTATTATGATGCTGTCATCAAATTATATCGTGAATATGATTCATCCATGTCACAAAAAATGATGATATCGTGGTTAAAAAATGGAATTAAAGATTCATTGAAGACTCAAATTAAACGACAAATGAAATTGTTATCTGAATCAGCACGAACAATTCAAGCATTCTTGAAAATTGCTAAAGATGAACAAGAATTACAAGAAGAAGATTCTTCTGAACTCCAAGCAACACAATCTTGTTTACCATACATTACGAATACCGTATCAACAACAGCACAACAAACACGAAGCAACTCCGGAAGGATACCAACATCAACATACTCACCATAACGACACACAACATATAAACAATATGCTCCATCATCCAACCCTTTAGATTCATTAAAGTCACAACAAAAAAATTACAGTTCAACTTCCCGACCATCACCTATTTTACATAAACGGGAATCACATTATTCATCAATTAATAATTCATCACGACGTCAAGACGTAAATGTTAAACCTTATTCACCTACACAACATGATTCTCAACGACGACCGTGTGGTGTATGCCAACGCATTAATCATCGAACAATTGATTGTTAATACAAGAAATTATATGGATGTTTTAAATGTGGACAGTCCGATCATCATATACGTGATTGTCCACAGGTTTTCTACTAGCTGGAACCCGTGATGGTGGTCACTCCAGTAGTAAAGAAAATCCATCAACAACGAATTATACGTCACCAACATCATTAACTCCTATTCATATAAAAGTTCAAGTAAATAATAAACAACATCAAGCTATTGTCGATACTGGATCTGCAATCACCATTATTAATCAACAATTATTAAAAACAATTTATCATAAGGAATTTACTTACAAGAAGAAATTACACAAATCAGCCAATTGTTCATCGATTAATATTATTGGTGAAATTCAACTTGAAATTAAAATACAAGGATATAAAACATTAATTTTAGCAGATGTTGCAACTAATCTTATTACTGATTTATTACTTGGAAATGATTGGATTACAGCAAACAATGTTATTATCGATTCACCACAACAATGCATTTATCTCACTGACAACAAACGAAACATTCTAGCAACAGCAACATTCGTTAAACCTGCACACCTTCAATTACCAGTACTATTAACCGATGAAATTACTCTTCCACCGCACTCCGAAAAATGCGTTAACATCAAAGTATTATCACCAACAATGAACATAACCGAAGCTTTATTTGAACCAGCAGCATATTTATATTCGAAACAAATGTTACTTACGAATGCATTAATTAAGTTAGAAGACAACAGAAGTCAAGTTATGATTTTGAATGCAAATGATCGTCAAAAGACTTTATCGAAAAATACATCATTAGGATATATTACATATCAATCCAAAGCCAATAACTATCTTATTTTACCAGTATTAACAAAAAATAAAACTGATCGATCAACACCTATAACATCGAATTTTTACAGAAGGAACAACTCTTTTGTGAGTCGTTCCTGGATTCCTTCAATGAATAATAAGAGGAAAGTTCAATCTACGAACTTTACCTGTCAAATGAACGACAATATCGATCCTGAACATCAATGTTATGTATGTCAAGAACAATTTTTATCACGGAATGATTTACAACAGCATTTACGCCGAACATGTTATCCATCAGAAATGCGAGAACAAATTGGAAAATTAACTCAACACATCGAAGACGACAAACAACAACAACAATTACAACAACTTTTATGGAAACATGGCAAATTATATGATATTCGTCAACCGTCCATCATCAAAGCTACAGTACATCATGCTATTGAAACTGGCACTCATCCACCAACTTATACTCCACCATATCGTGTTTCTTACAAGGATGAACAAATACAGAGGGAAGAAATTGATAAATTACTCAAACAAGGAATAATCGAAGAATCTACATCACCATGGTCATCACCTATAGTATTAGTGAGGAAAAAAGATGGTTCTGTTCGATTTTGCATTGATTTTAGGAAATTAAACAACATTACGACCAAAGATGCATTTCCTATGCCTCGAATCGATGATATCTTTGATCATTTATCAGAAGCCGAATATTATACAACCATTGACTTTAAATCTGGTTATTTTCAAGTGGGACTTGACCCAAAAGATCGTCCAAAAACAGCTTTCTCAACTCGAGATCAACATTATCAATTTACAGTATTACCTCAAGGTGTTACAAATGGTCCACCAGCATTTCAACGCATCGTCAGTCAAATACTTGGACCTACAAGATGGCAACATTCATTAGCTTATCTTGATGATGTTATAATATATTCACCAACATTTGATCAACACCTTATTCATCTCGATGATATTCTTAATCGATTAAACAATGCAAATTTTCGTCTCAATGTAAATAAATGTCAAATAGCAAAAACAGCAATTGATTTTCTTGGTCATCACATCGAACATAGCAATATTAGACCAAATACAGACAACATTCGTGCATTATTAGGAACTCAACAGCCAACAACCGCGAAAGAAGCTTTTCGATTTGTTAAAGCTGCTGAATATTATCGTAAATTTATACCAGGATTTTCTACTATTGCACAACCCTTATATAAATATGCACCTACTACAAAAGAACAACGATCACAAAAATCACAAGCTACACCTATTATTTTATCGGATGAAGAACTTCATGCATTTAATGAATTAAAACGAATATTAACGCATGACTTAGTATTACGTATTCCAGATCAAAATTTATCATTCAAGATACAAACCGATGCATCAAAGATTGGAATTGGAGCTGTTCTTATGCAGACTCATCCAAATGAAGATTTACCAATTGCATATTTATCGAAGAAACTTACAACAACACAAATGAACTGGCCTGCAACAGAACAAGAATGCTATGCTATTGTATTTGCAATTGAAAAATGGCACAAATATTTAGATGGACGTTCATTTATAATTGAAACGGATCATAAACCATTATTACCATTTAATACGAAAAAACAATTAAATTCGAAATGTGAACGATGGCGTTTGAAATTACAACAATATCAATTTACTATACGATATATTAAAGGAAAACATAATACAGTAGCAGATTATTTATCTCGTTTACCTGTAGACAATGCAACAAATGATGAAGACGATTATACTCCAACGACATCCAGAGCAACACAAACTGATAATCATATGCAGACACAAATTATTGCACCTATTATGACTCGTAGACAAGCAAGACAACAGCTTAATGAGAGGACTGATCATCACGTACCAGATCAGACCTGTAATGGAAATCGACAAGAGAGGAATGTCGACATATCAATCGACCATTCCTGTATTCCAAAAGCCGAGCAACTACCAACATCTATCCACAACACCGACTCTGATAGAATAATACCATTTACATTGGAACAAATAAAAGAATTACAACATCAAGATGATGAAATTAACAACATCATTCACAACATCAAGAACTACAAAGAATATTTTGTTAAAAATAATCTGTTAATGAAGAAAAGATTCCCACCAGTCCCCGTTATACCTAAGGGACGAATCCGTTTAGACATAATTAAAATTTATCATGATACACCTGCAAATGGTGCACACTTTGGTCGGAATCAAACCATCCAAAAAATTCAACAGCGTTACTTTTGGCCAAATATGGTTTCTGATATTCGTAATTACGTCCAATCATGTCTACCTTGTTTAAAAAACAATCCACTACGACAGAAACCACCAGGTGCTTTAAAACCGATAAAACCTCCAGAAGGAGTATGGCAATTACTTACAATGGACTTCCATGGACCGATTACACCAACAACAAAAAATGGGAAAAAATATATTATTTTATTAACTGATGTATTATCCAAATTTGTAATTACAAAAGCAGTACGTGATTGTACTGCATTAACTGCAGCACGATTTCTAACTGAAGATGTTATTCTTAAATATGGAACTCCAAAATGTATTCTTACGGACAATGGTACACATTTTACTGCTGACATGATGACTGAATTGTTCAAGAAGATAGGAATTATACACTTATATTCAACACCCTATCATCCGATGACCAATGGACAAATCGAAAGATTCAATGCAACGATGGATTCGAAAATAGCAACATTATCAAATGAAAAACGTACTAACTGGGATGAACAATTACAATTCGTTACATTCAACTATAATACCAGCATCCATGCAACAACTGGGCAAATTCCATTTGAATTAATGCATGGACGTTCACCGATTCTACCCTTTGATCAACAACAACCATTAGTTACACTCTCCCAAGATCCAGATCATAAATCGAAATTAAATCATCATTTATCAACTTTAACGGAACAAGCGAGAACGAATATACTGAAACGACAAGAGAAATATAAAGAACGATATGATCAACATCGCACAAATCCACATTACAAAGTCGGTGATCTTGTCTTAATTAAGATATTATCTATGCGTAATAAATTCGACGCACGATATGAAGGACCATTCAGGATAACACGACAACTTAGCACGAAAACATTTATCGTTCAACATGTGAAGACACCAACATTAGTGAAACAAGTGACCAGCGACATCATGGTGTCAATCATAGAACGTCGGAAACAGTAAAAAAAAAGGAAAACAAATGAGCAAAGAAAAGATGAAGAGGAATGGAAAATCCATATATTACAACATATATGCACATTTATTGGATTATTTACAAGGAAAAAAACAAAACAACAGTTTAAATTATTACCTATAATAAATATTAACAATGAACATCAATACGAATTTTATTAATTAAATAAATTATCCTATATGTCATTTATGGAATTTCATTATTATGATACCACAACTGATCAGTAGAATTAAATTAATATATTGATCACATGTACTATTCGATTGTACAATGACTTAACAGAACGAAAGATATTAATGATATACATATATACATATTATGTACACAGATAAATCAATTATTATCATAAAAAGGAGAAACACGTTATGTTTTTCCTGATTATTAGTTATAATGAGAAATCAAATCGACAGAGGACTCTTTAATGGAGTCCTGGATATATGTACAATTTTTTTTGTTTTCTATTTCAGATGTCTACTTCTCATAAAAATCGTTATTATTCATCTACATATCATTATCAAGAAAAATCTTCATCAATTGTTAAATCACAATCGAATACAACACATTATTATCGTCGTCAACATCATTACATATCTCCATTAGAACAACTTGATAAACTTACACAAAGATATTGTCCAGGAAAATTTTAAAAAAATAATGAACTTAAGGATTTATACAATAATGGTAACTGTGGGAAATTTGAACTACCTTCATCGTTATTTAAAAAATTTTACATCAATCGTCAAACATCAATTAGTACTTTAAATGATTTAATCGATTATGCTTTTCATATTAAAAATTATACAATCGATACGGAAGATCAATTAAATAAACCACCAAAACCATCTGATCCTGCACTCATTCAAATTCAATTTATTCATGAAAATGATCCATCAATTATTTTATTAATCGAAGTATTTTATTTACCTCCAGAAAATTCATTTACATTTAACAAAATCAAACAATTATGCAAAATTATATTTTTACCAAATCATATTATTAATTCCTGGGGTGATCCAAAAAAAGAATTAAAAAAATTTTTACGATTTAAATTATTTGATGATGATGATATTGATTTTATAATACCAAAAAATACCCAGTATATATTTAAAGGTTGGTTCAATCGTACGTATCCACAATCAATTCATATTAAAGATGGTGCTGGTGATCAATACTCATTACAATCAGCAATGTACATAACGTTCAATGAATGGCTTGACAAGAGAATGACTCTTGCAAATTGGGGTTGTGGTATTGATTCATCATTACAAACTTATATAACAATGAATGATTATGATGATATTAAAGATAGAAAAATTTATGATGAAAAACAAATACGTCAATTAATGGAAACTTATGCAATCAACGACTGTTTTTCAGTTACAAAGCTAAGTCAAATAATGAAACATTTTGAACCATCTAAACCACCATTAGAAGAAAATAATATTTATATTTTAGATTGTGAACCAACAGAAGAAGAAATACAATCAAATGAATTATTAAATGATAATGATACAGTTGAATCAGTTCATGTCTTAGATGAACGGACAACTGTCAATGATATAATGGAATTAGATGAACCGGATTCGAATGTCGTATTCTTGGTTCATGGACAAACAAATATATTAGATGGTCTTGAAGCTATTTCAGAAGGCGAAGAACAGCAACAACCAATACAAAATTCAATATTAATAAATAAAGAAATAAAAACAACATCGAAACATCATTCAACATCAAAAGAACAATTAACTAAAACACAACGCAACAACATAAGAAAACGAGCAGCTCGATACAATTTTAAAGTAACTCGTAAAATTTATTACAAATTTACCACTTTAGATATAAAAGGAATATTAATTGACATGAATATACATTGGTTAAATGTTAATGTGATCAATTCAACATTATATATAGGTGTGAAGAATGAAGCAACACGAAAACACGTGGAAAATCTATTACACGACGAAATGTTCACAGAAGCACATTATAAAAGATTCAATAAAAAACGTTCCCGTCGGAGGAAAAATTAAATATATAATTTTGTCGTTTTTCTTTTCTTTCTTTCTTTTTCTTTCCTGCTCATTGTTACACGTGCTATTGTTATTAATATCATTTCAGTTATTATGATTATTATGATATTTTTTATTATTATTATCATTATTACTATTTTGTGGAACTCACATATGTTTTCGAAGAAAATAGTGAGTGTAAGTTTTAAGTGTGAGGTTTGGCGGCTCCCC